ACTAAACTTTTGTGTTTAATAAATCGAGATTCGAGAAGACTTTTACCAAACAAGACGCTCTACAGAGCGTTAACTTGCTGGGGCTTTACAAATACGCACATTACTGCATATGCATGGTACTACAATCAGATGGGCAATTGAAGAGTTGTCACCTGACTCCTGTTGCAAAATTATTGATATGAGAGCATATATAATGTGTCAACAATATAATGTGCACTTTTAAAACATTGCTTATGTTTAGCATTGTTACTCTAGTCTATGCAAGGCATTCCTCCTGCATACCTTGAGGGATGCATTATGGCTATTGACGTCGATAAACAATATATATGTTTGAATTGTAAGACACGTGTGGCGGCTGATGATGAAAACAATAGCGATGACTTTATTCCAATAACTATGATTCGATGTTTGTCTTGCAATTTGCAAACTAAGTACGTCCAAAGAAGACCTTTGAATGCATGTTTTCAGTGCCCACTTAATTATTGTTGATGAGAACCGAGAAAATTTGGGTCGGTTCTATTGCTCTAAAGACTGTCTGACCAATATGTTTGCTGCGTCTACAGTCCGAAAAGCGAGAGGTATATAATATAGAAGAAACAGACACGAGCAAGCTTTCTAAGAACATGATTATCAAAACTTTACTATTAATTAATAAAAACATTTCATTAAGCTACGTTTACACGCTACGATTTATCGTATACAATTCGTATCAGCTGGCGTATTAAAATTAGTGCTGGCGCCATAATTCATTGCCATTTCGTTAAAAAGAAATTTCAAATGTAGCCAGTATAGCTTACGCGTGTTTACTCAATGACATACACCAGAAAACGAATCGTACACGATTAATCGCAACGTGTAATCGTAGCTTTAGAGGTTTTGAACTGAAGAGGACAAAATGATGCATGAGTGTATGCTAACTTTATAGTTATGCTAACCAGTGCCTTTTTTAAGGAATTTTCACTGGGGGGGGGGGCAAAACAGGAAAAAAAAGGCAGAACGGAAAATATGAGCCATCGAGGTTTGGCGAACGCGCGAGTCTGAAGAGAGATTTTGTAAAACTTTAATTTATTAACTTCAGCTATATTTTACTTTAAATTAAACAATAAACTTCAACTCTTTGTAGCTATAATTGTACAGCTATAACCAGTGGCGTAGCCAGACCTTAATTTTTTTTTTTTGGGGGGGGGGTAAACCTCACGCCGAAGGCGAGGAGGGTCCGGGAAAGGGCATGTACCCCCGGGAAAATTTTGAAATCTAGGGTCCCTGAATTGCGATTTCAAGCATTTTGGGAGTGAAATCTAGCAGAATTCCGAAGATTATAAAGTACATCGAAGACATGAATTTTTCCATACATTTCTACTCGGAATTAAATAAATTGGAAAAGTCACCTTGAAAAATAGGAGGGGTCAGTGTCACCTTATTTTCTTTCTGTGATGCTGGGGGGGGGGGAGAAAATCCCAATGTGATTTTCATCAGAAATGTTGCATTTACATCATTTTAGGTTCTATGAGACGCCATTTCCGCATTCTCAAAATTGTGTTGCTTTTTCATACGATACAGAATAAATCTGAGAAGAAATATTCATGCATGCTCTGATGATGCATACATGTATTTAACAGTTAAAAATCTAAACTAAATCTACTCTTCTTGGAACCAGCATGTTATCGGATTTTTTGCATGAAATTTATCGCTATTATGAAATTCTCGGCGAAGAACAATATGAATTACACACAGGATGGCTGTGGAGGAGGCTATGGAAGGGCATAATCTCATTATCAAGTAAATCAACTGCAATTCTGACAGCAATCATGAGCAATTCTGCTTCGCACTTCGGGGGCAGAAATGGCTTTACTGGGGGGGAGACAAATTCTTTCCCTGGGGAGGGGGCAATTGCCCCCCCAGATATATAGTTAAAAAAGGCACTGAATTGCTAACTTTTATAGATGTTGACATTAAATTTGCGATTGGTGAACATGCGAATGGAACGCTTAATAGTTATTTCAAACTGTTGTTCATATTACATGCATTTCATCGTATATATTACTTTTGTTTGCTGTAAAATGTTTCATGTGTTCATAATTGGCGTGGGCGCGTGGCGATTATTATACTTAACAAGATTCTGAAACAATCACTACGAATATTTGCAGTTCCAATATTCAACTTCAGTATGAATAATGATTATATAATTACGGAACAAATCTTACATCTTTACTAGCAACCAATCCATTTCTATGAAGCTTTTATATAATCTCTATTTTTAATGAAGTGTCAGTAATTCAATTTCGTTGATTAACCAGTAGAGATCGCGATGTTCGTTGAAAAGTTACCAATAATGAGAGACCAGTCATAAAGTATAGGGCTGGAGAAATCAAATCTTCAATTGTATATTTTTCCTTGGCCCACCCCTGGAATAAGGCTTAATTATCAATGGCCCACCCTTAAAGTCATGCACAAAAATTAATGACCCACCCTTTGTTAAAAGACAACAACAGGCGGGAAACTCATGGATCACTTTCTATTGGTGATATTTTTTACATGTTTCAAATTCAGTTTCATACATGATTTATTGCTTGGAAACACCAAAACATTACATACGACTCTTTTATAATAAAGTAGAATCCAACCCTACAGTGTGTAATCGTTCATTTAACCCTTACAGATCACTTATTATTGCCAAACATCCCTATCCCTGTCATTTAAGCTCCCTTCACCATTTAGGATGCAATCACCTACAGTCATATGATCACACTACGAGAGATAAAGGACTCCACCCTTACCATCACAATCATTCAAACTCACTGTACTATTGAGTATGTTGAAATGCGTACATAGGTTGCCTTTCCTACCCATTTTCAATCTCTCGCCTTTTATATCATGTCCCACAAAATATTTCACTTTTTTTAGTTCCTATATATAATCGTAGTTTCCATAGTTTACATTTATTGACATATATGTTCACCATAGGAGTCGGAGTACTAGGCCGTAGGAAGCTCGTTTTGATTGGGGTGGGCTGAAAGCGAGGGCCGAAGGCCCGAGAAAATTTTTTAATTTAGAATCTCTGAAATGCCACTTCCTGGACTTTGGGGAAGATTTGACAGAGTTCTGATGGTCAGAAAACAGCGTTTTAATATGTCAAAATTTACAATTTAGTAGTACTAAATGGGTGAAGGTGTATTTAATTAACTATATTTTGGATAAGTTTCAGGAAAGTGTGGGTAATATCTTCATTCTTTGCAGTTTTGCATGGATTAAATGATAAAGGTCTGCATGATTTAAAAAAAAGAATGATTATTAGCAAATTATTGGGAGGGGGGCTGCAGCCCCCCAGCCCCCCGGTTGCTACGGCCCTGGAGTATATAACAACCATTTTGAATACTGGTCCTCTAATTAATTCCTTCATTAAAACTTACGAAAAAAGTTTAGTACACTGCGTTTATATATACATTAAAGTTTGTGCAATATGACTAAAAGTTTAGGTTGGTCATGCATTGTGTGAGCTTGAAAAATTCTTAACAGTTAACCCATTGAGTAGCATTGTGCCCTGATGCACCCCACTTTATTATTTTACTCTGTCTAACGCCAGATTATTTTACTCTGTCTAACGACAGACTACTTTTCTCATCAAGGGGAAAGTGCTGTCGCTTATGGGTTAATTAACAGCGTAAATTGAAACATATTCACACATGACCCACCCCTAATGTGTAAATTGAAACATATTCACAGCGTAAATTGAAACATATTCACACATGACCCACCCCTAATGTAAAAGTATGAAAATGGTGCCCCCCCCTTTTCCTCCAGCCCCCCCCCCCATACTTTATGACTGATCCCTGAGGAACAGTCAATACACGTTTGTAGCCTTGTTCGCGACGAATATAATTAACAGTCGTATTTCAAGGAACTTGAGAAATCTCCATAAAATCCACTTTAATAGCAATATTTAATGAATAGCGTACGAATTCACGAACAATTAATAGCGTCCACACCGTGATTAGAATGGTGGAGATACCACAATAAAGTTAGTGATGAAATAAATTTGAAATATTGAGCATCAGCATTCCATTGTAGACATTTCATCATTTCAATTTATAGTCGAACATATTTCGTTGCATAACGTGACGTGTTCAACATATTTCTACAAAATAAAGAAATGAAGTTTTACCCTCACGATTTTGGACCACTCTGTACGGACCAGACCAAGATTTATGAAGAACGGAAGGTTTTCCCTTTCGCGTGTACAAGCAAGCACAAAGGCGTGCCAGTAGATGTAAAGAAAAGGTAGGAGACGTTACGTGCTGTATATACAGAGACAGGCTATCTAATTTTAATCTGTTATCTCATGCTATGCATAATCGGGAAGTAAGAGATTTGTTGTTTTTTCATGAAGCTCTCCATGGTCTGTAGGGCCATTTGTATGAGAGAAAATAAGTCGCGAACAAACTCGTCTATAAATGATTGGTCAATTTCTGTCAAGCCGCCACTTATTTTGGACCAGCATGAACCCCTGTTCTTATCTTAGTCGCGACTTATCACTTTATAGCAGGGCGCTTATATATATAAGCGCCCAGCTTTTCGTGAACACAAGGACGGAAAAACCTTACAGAAAAGATTGATCTGACCAGATCCTGACCATGCATTATCTCACATTCGATTTCTTTTGCTCGATGTCCAACTTATAAACACTCGGCAACAGGCTCTGACGGGTGATCAATCGCCTATCGGGAGCGTTTGGACGATTTCTTTGTTAATACCACGCCTTGAAACACGTTGAAACTGAAAGCTAGGCGTCTTTCATCATTCATTTTTTGCCATAATAATAATATTTAAAACTTAGATAGCCCTATTTACAATAATAGATCAACACTGTCATTGCATGGACACCGAGCTCGAGTCAGGTCCTATAGCAAATAGTTTACAGTAAAGGAATTCTAGCTGTTCAAAATAAACTTAGAATGCTTATAATAACTCGTGGCTAAATTTTTAAGAAACCTTATATGTTCCTCCATTTTCGACCACTTCAATTTTTCTTACATTTTCGACTATTATCTTACATATTTCTTGTTTTTAAATTTATTTCCCCCATCTTTTTGCCCAACTTACGTTTATAATTTCCCCAACTTCATTTTTACCATAGGGAGTAGAGCAGCTGTCCCCACCCCCCTCGTATGCTTACGGCTCTTTATAATTAGTTCGGCAATACTGTCGATAGTCTCTGGGTAATGCTAAAAGCCATCCAACTTGGCGGTCGGAAATTCACAGCGAGGAATCTGGATTCTTCATTTGCTACTGCGTCTGAAATATGTTTTAAATTATTTTCAGTTATATATTGTTCAAACATCGACATATTCAAATCATAAAATACATCAATGAAACCTGCGTCTGGGTTGCAAATTCGTAACATTTCTTCACTTTGGCTGTAGTATATCAGTTTACCTTGATCTTCAATTATGGAATCGTAGACTATTTTAAAATTCCCCAAATCTCCCCCCTCCAGGGACTCCTCCTATACAATGTTGGTTTGTGCACAAAAAATCGTCATCGATCATTCAATGTTTTGATCAACACTGTGCTCATTGGCGGACAACTATGACTGCAGATTTAAGGCAAAAGAACTAAGGTCTCCAGCTAGCTACAAAAGGTGGACATAGGTTGGTAACCTGATTCGCCCCCGACATTTGTATAATTTCTCGGCGAAATGCAAATTCGCGCATGCGCGGTAAAGGTCCAGACACACCAGACGCGATTCGACAACGCGACGCGATTTTTAATTTTTGAAAGTTAATAAAACAGCCAATGAGAGCAAATTTTGCCGAAAGATATGTTGACCAAATTACTCAAAATATTATAGCGCTTCTAAGTGTTTGGAAAATTCAAACCGCGTTTCGAATCGCGTCCAGTGTGTTCGATTTCGAAAACATTTCGCGTCACCAGTGAGTAGTTCTACTCACGGAGAAAGCGAATAACTAATTAATTCTATACTAATTAACAAAACAAAGTTAGGGCCTTGGTTGTTCATTTTCGTGTTGATGATTGACGATATAGATACCACCAATACCGACTTGTGGAAATACGTGGACGATACCACAGCCGCTGAGATGGTAGAAAAAGGAGAGACAAGCAAGATCCAGAATATAGTAAATTAACTAACGGAAAAAACGTATAGGAACAAATTCCAGTTTAATGAGAAGAAATGCAAAGAGCTTCGGATTTCTTTTACAAAAAATCACCCTGAATACGCACCTATTGTTATCAATGATAAACCAATAGAAATTGTGACTACCATCAAATTACTGGGTCCGAACATTTCCAATAATCTTAAATGGAACCATCATATGGAGGAAATTGTTAAAAAAGCTTCCACCCGGTTGTATTTCCTGAGGCAACTAAAACGTGCCAAAGCTGCCGAAAAGGAACTTTTAACTTTCTACAAGACTTGTATTCGCCCTATAACCGAATACGCCTGTCCTGTTTTCCACAACGGATTACCCACGTATTTGTCAGATGAATTAGAACGCATCCAAAAACGCGCAATGCAAATCATATTCCCAAACATTAATTATCAGAACGCACTGAAGAACAGTAACTTATTTTCTTCATACGAAAGAAGAGAATACCTAACGAATAAACTCTTTGAAGAAATATGTTCTGATCCCAACAATAAACTGCATTATTTGGTGCCGAAACTAAACGAAACCGATATTGAACTAAGGAATAGACGCATGTTTAACTTTCCTGTGTGTAAAACAAACAGACTAAACAATAGTTTTATATTTAGTAATTCAAGTAGGAAAACGTTTTAATCCTAGTTTATATATACTTATTGGATATTACATGTAAAATTAGCTTATCACTATTTTAATCACTTTTAACTTTTATATTGTGTGAATTTTATATATACAATTCAGCCATTTTGGCTGCAATGATATATCTTAATAAACTGTCTATCTATCTATCCCAGCCAAGGGCATATTTTTACAATTTCAGCATGCGAATAAGGGATTTGATACTGCTACTGTATACAATTTTCATTTGTTAATACCAAACTGTGTACTTGTGAGGAACACATTGTAGAAGTCCACACTTTCACAAAGTCACAAACTTGTTCGTTTTTAGGATAGTTTTTACATAACACCAACAAGTACATTAATAAGTTATCAATAAGTCTGTCCCCAATGACTAAATTTATAGCACCTATAGAAAATTCACGTGATATGTCACCTACGTCAACACCCCCTAATCACTATAGTTTCCGAAATACTAAAACAATTTTATATATATTTTTAAATTATTAATTATCTTTTCTTTTTGAATGCACTTCTCAATTCATTATAATCTTGAAATCCAGTTTGTTTAGCAACAACTTCCAGCCACTTTCCTTGAATTATTTCTTTCGTTTTATCATGCATTAACTCTCGTCCTTTTGTTGCAGATCCTGTGACAACTTTATTGGGCACAACATCAAGTGGTACCCCGCAAGCTACATTCCGATAACGTGCGATGCGCATCGCTGAAAATTTCTTCTGGTTTCCCTTCATAAATTCAAAAGAGCTCATTTCCACAGCCTTCTCAATCTTTTCTTCATCCCGAATTCCTATGAATGCTGCAGTCTTCCTAACTACACTTTCCAAATCATCTTTCATATCCTCAAAGAACAGAAACAAAACATTCGAATCATTCCTGTGTTCCCACCAGCTAATCAAGTGGACGAAATAGGATGCATTTTCCATCTTGTTTTGTGGTACTTCACGAGCGAGCAAAAAATCCTTTACAAATTCATGAAGTGAAACTTCTCCAGGTTGGAACATCCAACCCTGAAAGAAATTAAAGAAGCTGTTGAAAGCAGCACATGGTTCACGGTAAATAACAATGTATTTAGCACCCTTCGGACAATCGGGATACCATGCGTGGGTCTTGTAACATCTAACAATAAGAAAATACATCTTAAATTAATATCATACAACAAATTCAGAATATATAAAAATTATAATAGAATTCTTATTATTATCCCAAAATTAGGCTTTTTCGGGGACGAAAACTATTCATAGCAGACTGGAAAGAAAAAAACCTGAAGTTGTGGAGAGCACATGCAGAGCGACTACAGCTAAGTGCTAGATATAGGTACGAGCTTGTAGGATTAATAACGTAATCAATCTTTGGTACTACGTACATTCAATGGGTAGAAACAAATATTATACAGAGCTGCTACAGATGTTTATAAATGTTCGATCTACACAACCGTGGATACAAGATGAATTTCAGAGAGGCCGAATTTCAGAGAGATCGTGAGATTAGACTTAAAATCGTATGCACACGATGAAACTGTGTGAATTGAAAGGTCTGTAACGAAATTGTTGTAAAACACAGGCATGATAAGAAACTTACACCAGCCCAAAATGAACCAAATTAAGCAAGTCCAGTTAAGGCAGGTCTAGCCTGAGGAAGAGGGTGTTATATTATTCGTTGGTTGGCCAACAAGTTGTTTTCAGAGAAAAAAATTAAAAGAAGGCTCTGCCACACGTGTGTTTCAGATTAAATGAGCAAAGAAAGCAAACTTGTAATACACAACTATTTAAATATTGAAGCTTGAAGAATATTACACACTGCAAATCATGCAAAGCAGACAACAAAACTTCCAGCAATCATAGCAACGAAAAAACTTTCATTGTACTGATCAGGGGCGCCGGAAGCAACGTGAAGTGGCGGGAACAGACATTGGTGAAGGACGTGACACTTACTTCTCAGCCTTCATTTGTGGGCGGTAATATTAAAATGTTGCTATATGGGTACTATATTAGTTGCAGTTTGGGCATTAATTGGAACCCACTGGTTTTAAATAAACAGCATAAAATTCTACGCCATATATGTTAAAATAAATAGAATAGGTAATCAGAAAATGAGACCTCGACATAGGCCCCCTTTACACGAGCCCGGGTTGACTATCAACCCGGGCCAACCCGTCTACGAATAAATCTCTATTAGCGTTTACACGATAGCCGGGTCAACCTTTCACACCTCGCCAACCCGTGGCACCCTTCTCGAGACCCGGGTCGACCTGGGTTGGCTAGGTGTGAACGCGTGAAAAGTTTACTCATTTCTTCATGTAAAGCCGGGTTGGCTTGACCCGGGATCATGTAATAAAGTGTGGTAAATTCCTGATTGTGAACTTTGCACCTAGCGTCATATCGCATTTCAACATTTTGCGTGCTCTCTGTTCAATACAAACATATAAAATCATACAGTATGGCGAGTAAAAACGGTCCAAAACCAAAAGAAAAAATGCTCAACCCGCGTTTCAGTGGTGGTCTGAAATTATTGATCACCTAATCCTTTCTCTGAAGGATTATGAGACGGAGATGGATTATAAAAATGTAGATTTCAACTCCGATGTTGTCGCAATGTATTCAAAGTTGCGCGAAAGGTATGGCGTTGGCGTTCGATGCCGAATATTTTGGTCCAGTAGATCTTCAAGTACAAGATAGCTATCAAAAAAGGAAGAAAACGCCTTTAAGGCAGAATTAAATTGCTATACGGTTATTAAATCCCTGATAAAAAGGGATATAATCGTATACTGAAAGATATAAGCGCCAAAACTAAAAGGGATATAATCGTATGGGGTCTATAAGGGATATAAGCGCCAAAAATACATTCTGCTCCAGTCTGTTGCTCGGAATCGAGTCAGCCCGGGTTGAGAATAGCCGAAAAACGCATATAAATAATTTGGTCCCCCAGGACAATTTTAGTATGGTTATAAACAGCATAAAATTCTACGCCATATACAGGGTAGTAGTGTTAAACGGGGGTTTCAGGGCCAAACTTCATGTTATACAAAATATAGTGTCTTCAGCCCTTCATCCTCTTGGCCCTTTAGCCCCCTATCCCACCCTGGACCCAATCCTCAGGACCCCCCTGTCCCCAAGATCCTTCCATGACTTTCCGGGATTTTCCCTGGACTTTCCCGTGAACTTATTTCCAATACTTTTCCCAGAACTTATCCCCAAGTCTTTTCCAAGATTTTTCCCAAGTCTTCCAAAGACTTCCCCAGGATTTTCTCAAGATTTTTTTTTTTTTCAAGACCTCGTCCCCAAGACTTTTTTCCAAGATTGATGAAAAAAATCATAAGTTTGTGAAATTTTTTTTCAACACCTTATAGAAATAAAAAGAGTATAAGAAAAAGATCGTAAAAATCCGAGGTTGCTACTTGCCATTTTTTTCCATAGTCGTTCGGAGTATGGAAAAAAATTGAAATATACAATAAAGGAAAATGTCAATCACCAAAGTCCGGGACTTTACCAAAGATTCGTTCCGTTTCGAAGATGGTGTTGAAAACAGGTTCGGATCCAGAAAAATTAAATTAACGGCATGCGATCGAGGTCCTCTTCTCTTGAAGGTTACGGATTGTTTGTCGTACGGAGTGGACGAAAATAACAAGTACGGTAAGGAAAATCTTTCCGTTTCCCTATCCCTTTGGGAAAAGCCGGAGTTTATTTCCGTTTTAGAATTAATCGAAAAAGAATGTGCGAAGCATGTCGATAAGTCGGGCGAGAAGATAATGAAATGTCTTTATCGAAAAGGTAACGCTCCCGTTTTATATCCTAAGATCGATGACGAAACGGAAATCTACGAACCGAAAGGAGACGGTCCGGTCGATCCTAAAAAATATTTGAATAAGAGATTTCATCTCGATGCGATCGTTCGAATCGACGGAATCTTTTTATCCGACAAGACAACTTGTATTCAGGTAAAATTATACGAAGCCAGTATATTGGAAGAAAGACCAAGGGTACCGAGAAAAAGACTTTTACGAGATTAAAAAAAAAATAAATTTTAATGTAAAAACATTAAAATTTTATTAAATAAAAGAATGAATCCAGCAACGACAGTTTTATATTCGGCGATGAAATTAGCGGGCAGTAACGAAACGGAAATTCCGAACGTTAGATTAACGGAAAGAGAAGCCGACGTTTTATATGCAACGTGTGCCATCTGTGCATCGTCTGCATTTTCCATCTTGTTATTCGTATGTACAAAGTTGATAAAAATGTGTCGCGAGAAAGAAAAGAAAAAAGAAGAATTACCGGTTTATACACCGTCCGCGTGAGAAATTTTTTAATTTTTTTATTAAAAATTAAAATTTATTCAGGATGATCATTACCAGCAACAGTTCGAACGTGATCGGGATCAGAAGACAAGCGATTAGACTCGTCCACAATAGGATTCTCCACAGGAGTAATTTCATTTATTCCATCGTATTTTTTAACGGTCGTACTAGCATATCCGATCTGTGTATGAATGCTCGTCGTTGCATCCCCGCGATCGAACCCGAATCCTAAACTAAACATTTTACGTCTCTTATGATTCTTATTATGTTTTACGCAACTTTTAGATTTTGAAGAAAAACATCCCATCTTTTTTATAAATGAACCCGTTTAATATGATTATCGTAGGAATGACGGCGTGTGGAAAAACACATTATCTGATCGAAGAGTTGAAGACGACGTATTTTCATAAATTTTCCGAAATCTTTTTAATCTGTCCGACGTATCATTGGAATATGACATACGACCAGAATTTTATTTACAACGATCCCAACTTTTTTGTTATTCCGTGTCATCACGACGACGTGGAAGATTTGTTAAAATCCGTCGTGAATTATGCATCGGGAAAAGATAACGCATTGATTATCCTGGACGATTGTGCCAGTACAAAATCCGTTAAGAATCGTACGAGCGAATTGGTATCGTTAGGATTCGGTGCACGTCATCGTAAGATTTCAATGATCGTGATTACACAACAGTTGACATCGATCCAAACCGTACCGTGAGAATATTCAGAAACTGGTAACATTTTACAATTCCAACAGACAGGATATGAAAATTATCCTGGACGAATATTTGGGGGACGAGGATCCACAGAAATTAAAATCCGTTCGTGAAAGTTTAAAAGAGAATAAATATTCGTACTTGGAAATAAATTTAATTCATCCGTACCGGTATGAAATAAAGTACAAGTAATGGAAGGAGAAGAGAATACGACACATGAAAGGACGGAACAAGAAATCTTCGAGGATACGCTGGCCGAATTAATCCGGTTATCGAATACGGGTGAGATTACACAATCCGAAGCTTATTTAAAAAAAGCAACACCAAAAGTTATTTTCAAGATTAAACGGGAATACATCTTGAATCAACGTGAAAAAGCTAACGTTCTTCTAACAGAAACATTGATCGAAAAATTTTCGGGATTACTGGAAAATCTTCGTATGATCGATAGCGGTGATGAATTAAAAGAAGAATTAAATCAAGACAAATTATTAAAAAGCGACGTGAAAAGTCTCGTGGAAAAAATATCACCGTACATTCCATACTTGGGATTTGTAAGCGGCGGTGTGACGTTGATAAAACATGTGAATGGAAAAAGAAAAGGTACGGAAGATGTGAAGGAAGAGGATGAAAAAACAGAACTCTTGGTATTTTTTCATATTTTCGTGAAAAATATGAAAAAGATCGCGATATTTTAATATTTTACCCCGCTCAATTGTCCATTGACCATTTTAATCACACCGTCCGAAAGAACGAACGTGTAACAGATGACGTTGGCGGTCGTTGCTTTTTTCGTAATTTCGATTAAAATTCCGGACTGTGTATTTTGAATCTTCACTCCGTTTCCGTACGTTTTTGCATCGTTTGCCGTCCGTAAGTCGATGACCAATGCAAATTTTTTATCTTTGTAAAACTTGATCATAGACTGTTGTCCGTTCGGATCGGTACCAAAAAGACGTTTGGCTTCTTCGTACATCCTCGTCTTCGTTATTCCCTGACTGTACACAACATTCGGAACACCTTCGATCGTGACTTTGACTCTGTCGATATTCGGAAAGACATATTCTTCGCTATCGGCCGGAGTTTTTTCCGTGAATAGCATGACGACGGCTTTCATACTTCGTCGTGGACGATTGACGGTTTCGTTAACGATCGTCAGACTTTTATCCCACTCGGTCTTTTTCATCAACGTCGCATGTTCGAAAGATAATTCACGTTCGGCTCCGTAGAGATTCTCGGATTTTTTTGCGAGATTCACATTTTCGATAGATTCGTACTCCAGTTCTAAATTTTCCAAGGAATATCCATCGACGGTTTCACCACCTTGTGCATTCATGATTTCGGAGGCTTGTGGTAACGTGATCACATATTGAAGATCGTTGGCGGAATGATACGGTGCATACAATCCGTGATCGCCTAAAATCTTTGTAATTTTTAACCGTTGTTTTGTTCCGAAGATTCCAAACAATGCAGTCGCATCGGCATCGACATTGGCTTCATCGTCTTTGGAGATTTTTTTACGGACGGCTTCGGTTGCAATTCCATCCTGAATCATATCCGTCCGTTGTTTTTCATCCATCCACAAGTCCTTGTAAATTTCCAGTAAACTTTCACCGCTGTTATCGTAGACTTTTTCACCGGCGAGACGAATCTCTAATCTTTTTTGCAATAATTTTCCCAAATTATTCCGGAACCATGATTTTTCGTTGGCATTTTTAAAGTCAAAGATCAGTGCCATACTATCGGGAACGAGAACAGAATCCGGTTTGAGTTTGGGGATATTCACGTAGATTTCTTCCCCGGGTTTCGCCGAATTTGGATTGAACGTGATCAAATGTCGCGTTCGGTTTCCCGTCAGTTCCGTTCTGGATCGACGACTAAAACTAGGATTAAGTTCTTGGGTACGTGTTTCCATTCTTTTACTTTATGGAAATAAAAGAAATTTTTATTTTTTCTTCGTGAAATAATTGTACAAGTATCCTGCGATGAGAATAGCAAGAATCCATAAGTTTTTCGCAAGAAATTCTATTCCTTTCGCACCCCATTTTAAAACGGTTGCTAGCATATTCAATTTTCCCCAGTGCTTTTCCAACTTCGCCCACGCCTTTTGCAGCACCGACCAACGTCTTTTTTCCGGCGACGACGACAGTCGTAATAATTCCAGCGATTGAAATAGCGATCGCAGATAAAACTCCTAAATTTTCTCTGGCCCAGATTTTAAATTTCTCAAATCTCGTCCGTACATCCTCGCGAACTTTTTCTCGGACACGATGCACACCTTCTTCGGATTCGGGACGTTCGCGCATTTCCAGTCTTGCATCGTCGATATTTTGTTCGGCGATTTCTAACGCTTCGCGAAAAATATCTTTGCGTTCATCATCGGATTCGGTATCAAAATCTGTTTTCAGTTTTTGACGTTCTACTTTTAAAAATTTAATTCGTTCGTTAGGTTCACCTTTAGGAACGGTAATTCCAACCAGTTCCCTGGCTTCCTGTTCGGTGAATTTTCCATCACGGTGAAACTGTAAAACCCGTTCGTGAAATTCAAAATTATCGTTGATATTTTCATTGTGAATTTCATCGCGTACATCGTTAGAAATATCGCTGATGATTGGTGAATTTCCCTTTGGAATTTCTTCTTCCGCGATATTGATGAATTTATTTCGATGTTCTTCCCTTGCTTTTTCAAAGGCAGATCTAAAATTGTTTTGGCTATCGGTAACAGTTACATTTTGACTTGTGGATAGTTTGTATTCCCCATTTTTTTCGATGAAAGCAACATCAATATTATCAAATGACAGCCAGTATCCGCGGGTGATATTTAATCTGGAAAACAAATCCTTCGAATAAGGTCCATCATTCGGATTTAATTGATAGTCGTTCTCAAAAAGTTTTTTCATATATTCAGATTTCAGACCGACAGACGATCCGGTAGTGTACAGGGAATTGGTTTCTTTTTTTCTATCCTTGAACCTATCATTTTCATTCTGTCTTTTAAAATCTGTTAACCATACTTCATCGTTCTGTCGATCTAAATCATCCAGCGCCGTATCGTACAAGTCATCGTTTAAATTTGTATCTTCATATCCATCCCCTTCCCACGTATCCCAATCATAATCATGTCCGATATCATCAAGTTCGATATATTCAGCCATAGTTTATTTCTTACTTAGATCCAACGATAATTCATGTTCGTAAAATCTTCCTTGAATTTCACGATCGTCATCGTCGGGATCGATAAGTTTATACATGTTTGGATCACCACGAAACACTTCCGACACGACGTAAACATCGTCGGTATAATTTGAAGTGTATCCTTTGACAAAAGTATCGCGATAGATCAGATCTTCGAACACGATCTCCAACTTTAAATTTTGGTTCTGGAAAGTGAGATAACGGATAACCATAAAGTTTCATCCAGACTTTATCTTTATTGGTTTCATTCACATCGGCAGGTTTCATACCGATGGTTCGATGTTTGGAATGATTATACGACGCAACAAAATTATCCAGGACGTCGATCCATTTTTTAGATTTGGTCGTAAATTGCTGTTCGGTAAAATATTTCCACATTCTTGTTTTTAACGTCCTGTTGAATCTTTCGACGATCGCTGCTTTTTTCCCGGTCAGTCGCGTTGAAAAATAATGAATGTCGTGTTTTTCCAATGGACCTTTAACTCCATTATTGTAAAATTCTTTTCCTTCGTCAAATTGAACGACTTTTGGATAGCGTCCAAATCTTTCGTGGAATTGTTCCAGGATTTTTTCAACGGCTGGAACCATATCTTCCGTTCCTTTTCGGTAGGCAGGCACGGCAAATGCATACCGACTTAAAATTTCGATGGAGGTTAAAATCCATTTGTAACCTTTATTCGCACGATTGAAGGTTTGCATATCTACCAAATCCAATTGTAATTGCTGGGCAAGTCCGTCGACATACGTTCGTTGCGTTTTAAAGTGAACTCGCGTCGGTTTGTGAACGACGTACGTATTTTTTGTTTGTAACCATTTTTTCACTTTTTCACGTGTAACACCGGGAATATTCTCTTCCACTGCATCCCGATAAAGTTTTTCCATCGACATGTATCCACCGTTCACGTTAAAATACAGTTCGCGTAAACCAAGATCTAAAGAATCCATTTATAATAAATGAAAAAGATTACAGTTTTTATTCGGGACGGAGAAACTACGATGAAATTACAGAGTCCGTTGATTCTAACACCGACATCCAAACTTTACGTAAAAACAGTCGCCTTATTCTGGACGTACGAAAATATCCGTAAAGGCGTCAACGATTATTTTTCCGTCGATAAGAAAAAAGTGATGTTGAAAAATGGATACTGGACGTTTAAACAATTGCGTCAAAAATTAGAAAGTCACGGTCTTGTCGTCGAAGATTTTCCAGATGGACGGATTCAAATAAAATTTGGAAAAAGTGTCAAATCTTTTAATCCGTGGAAATTAGGTAATCTGTTAGGATATACGACATTCACGGAATTACATCCGGGTCAACATCCTGTAGATATTCACGAAGGATTACGTTATGTGACGATCGGTTGTAATTTAGCGAACCGTTCACAAAATATAAATCCCGACGGCTATCCCAGTAGTATCATATCGTCCCTTCCCATCGATGGAACGAAACCTTTATTCGGCACGACGACTAAATACAATGACATCGAAAGTGAAGTGCAAGCCGATGCAGGGATTTACCACGAACTTCATTTCGACGTGAGATCCAATATCGATGGAATTACGCCCTGCAATGCTTTAATGGATTTGTATATCATCTAAGAAATAAAAGATGGAAGGAGAAGAACAAGTTTTTCGTGACTATTACGGAAAAAATTACGAAAGGGTTCGAAAAGCTTATCCGTTAGAAATTCAGAAACTCAAGATTAATTTTCTTCAAAAATATCCAAATGCTATATTATCTAAGTTTGAATTTAACGTGACGTTTGTAAAAGATGGAACGTTAAGTTCGACCGAAATTTCTTACAAGGTGGATGAATTCACCAGTTACGATATTACATCCGAAACATTTTTAGGAAATCCAGAATGGACTAAATATTTATATTGGAAAGATGGATGGCGAAATGTTAAATCCGATATGATATTTCGTCCCAATTTCGACTTTGCCGTAAATTTTCACACGTTTAAAATCTACGTCTCGGAAACAGATTCTTTTCCCGTGGATCTAGAATATACGAGACCCGAATACAAGGGAACGGGAAATTTTGTAAATTTAATCCCGTTCGACTATCATCAGAATTCTTATTTTCGATCGTTGGCAGCCTGTTACATCGCGACATTTAAATCTGGAATTTCTGAAAATCATCTGAATAATACCTTGTCCGATTCCAGTCTGATCACGTCCATCGTGAAATTCCACGTTCATTATCAGATGGAAAAATTCATGAAAGATTCAAGATTGATGGATCATTATTTAAACGAAGACGATCTTTACATCTTGAAAAAATACATGCCGACAACCGAAACGTGGGAACGACGAACCGCATCGACGCATGCCAATCTTGGAACGTGGTATTATGGATTACCTGCCGATACGCGACAAAGAATCCGGAATCATCATTACGTTCGTACGCGGTACGGCGGAACGTATATCGCGTACGACTATTTAACGAAAAGACTTCCGAAAAATACAGAAGATTATAAAATATTCATTCCAAAAACATCGCGCGGATTAACAAAGATCGGACAACGGTTATTTCAACAGAGTCTGGAAGTTTACGTCTACGCCGTTCTCGGAGCCCAGGCCAAAACCCGGTGGAGTATTACGGGACAAGGTGCAAAAAGTTTACAGACCCAGGATGTGTTTCGAAAAGTTTTAAAAGACAGCATCGTTCAGAACGATATCACGACGATCATCCGCAACATGCGTACGGCGATCGCGGATACGAACGTCGTCTTAAATTTTGCCATCATGCCGGGTCTGATTCTCATTCCGTCCGACATGCGAATTTTACAAAAACCTTTGAAAGGTTACAATAATATTTTAACGTTGGCTAAAAGTGGCATGACGTTTGGAAAAAATGACGAGGTGAATTTTACAAAGACTCTGACAAATCCAGTGAAAAAACCAACAAGTCCCGTGAAAAATTCAGTAACAAGTCCCGTGAAAAATTCAGTAACAAGTCCCGTGAAAAATTCAGTAACAAGTCCTGTGAAAAATTCAGTAACAAGTCCCGTGAAAACTTCGACAGATCCTACGAGAGATAAAAATTTACAAAATCCATCCGCTCTGAAAATTTTAGCCGTTGCATCGATGGGAGTTGCTTATTTTCTATTCAAATAAATGAGTATATTAATGGTTATGATTACTTCGAGGATAATAGTCTTGAAAAAAAAGTAACGGAGATTAAAAAAACACAGCAGGGAAATTCGGCCGAGATCGTTAAGAATGTTAACGGTATTATTGAACTTAACGATCTTGGAAAAAATTACGTTCGGTATGATCTAGGACAGATACCTGGATATCCGGCCGGACTTTTTCTCAGAACCGGAACAATTTCTATTACCGATCGGAACAGGGCAAAATTCATTCTTTTTAAAGTCGGCGGATTCGAAATAAACGGCGAATCTCACTCATCTTTTTACGGATTTTACGACACAAGTAATGCCAACGTCGTGATGTTCGCGATCACACAACGAAGTGCTCTCGTACGCACATCCTTTTCGTTTGATTACAGTCGTGGAGTTATCACAGTTTCTAGTATCGAACATAAGAATATAAGTTCGTCTGGAAATGCAACGAACCGAACCGAGGCAACAACGTTAAAATGTTTTCTCGTAACGACTTAGGAAAATTTTTTAAGTTTTTACAGCTTAAAAAATTCGCGTCAGCACGTATCCACCGCCCACACCTAAAATTCCAACCGTCATCGTTAAATATTTTTGCATTTCGTCCGACGGTTGATAATAATCTTCGAATTTCGGTTTACGATCTAATGCATTTAAATCTTGTTGCCTGTTGAATGTTCTCAGTGTATCCAACGCTTTATTCGTCTCTTCGATATCGTGATTCGCATCCAGAATTTCCTGTCGTCGTCGTAATTCATCGTTCCGTCTTTTCACTTCGGATTCGTAAAATTTTTCTTTGGCCGCGGCTAGTTCTTCCAGCGCATGATTATGTCTTTTCACTTCTTCTTTGTATCCGTTTTGATTCAAGTGGGAAAATAAAAATCCTGCGCCTGCGAAGGCGACCGCATTGAATAATCCACCGACTACTAAATTGGTTGTCATTGTTTATTATTGTCCGATTGTTTTTGGGACGTAACCCTTGTCTTTGAGGTAGGCGATGGCAACAGAACTTCCCGCCACGGCAACACCTAATTTCATCGCTCCTTCTAACGTCATCGGTGCACCCAAACTTTTTCCCGCAATTGTTTTCGCCGCGTACGAAATTCCAACGACTCCAGACGTTAGAAGCACAGCATCGTATAAATTCTGGAAGACCTCTTTCTTAGTATCAGACATTCTTTTATTTCTTAAGTGAAAGAAATAAAAAATTTTTTATTAACACCTATCACTGGTTCGAAGTTCGTCGTTCTCATCTTCGAGTTCACGAATTCTTTCGTCCTTTTCATCCATTTCCACTTCGAGATCGTGTACCCTTTGCCTAAGGTCGTTCCATTCTTCTTCAAGACCGTTCCGTTCCTCTGTAATATTATCCCGTTCTTCTATGAGACCGTCCCGTTCGTCTGTGAGGACATCCAGTTCCTCTTCAAGATCATCCCGTTCTTTTTCGAGTTCGAGGATCCTAGCTCCTCTTTCGCGTGATATCTCCTTAGTCCGTCTGATATTTTTCTGGACAGCCAGCCCACCTTTTTTCCCACGCGAAACGGCTCCCGGATCCTTAACGATATTCCCCTTGTGAACAAATTCACCCCTTGCTTCTACCTTATCACCAACGGAAAGCTTACACAATTCCATATCATCGATACCTTTTATTCTGTTCAAAACTCCCGGTAATGTGTACGTTCCCGTTTTCCGAATAGACGGAATAACCTCATCTACTATCCACCACTTGAAATCCCTAGCAGTGGGTAATTTTGAACCGAATACAAGTTCATAGATACCAGATTCGGTAATAAAAACTGTATCGGGATGCATTGAGGAAAGGAGCGTGTTTCCCGCTGCTCGTATATTTCTGAGTATATTTCTCGACCTTTCGTCGGTGTGTCTGGCAACGGCATCAACGGTGTTCTTATATCCGAGTGCAGATGCAACCTCTTTTGCCATAAAGTATATCTTTCCGCCATCTTTTGGAATAAGCGTTTTGATCTTATTATTCCCGATGATCGCTGAATTTTCTAAAATCTCTAACCTCATTCTCTTTTATTATCGTATAAAGTTTCTCATAAAACGCTGTAAATTCAGAGAAGTCTGGGAATCTTCAATCAAACAAGTCGTCGAACGGTTCTTTCGGCGGATCTTTTTCCACATCCTCGTTCGCATTATTATCTCCGATTTCATCCACTTGTTTCACAGGTTTTTTCTCATCACGTCGCCACGTTAAATACAACGATCCCAGCCCGATTCCAACGCCTAAAACCAAACATAATCTATCGACGGAAATCCATCCACTTCCATTTTCCGTCACACATTCGCCACGAACTTCCGCTTTTAAATTTTCTTCGGCCTTTGCTTTTTTCGCAGCTTTGGCCTGTTGACTAATCTTTGCCAGTCTCTTTCCCGCTTCGACACGACGTGGATCTTTAACTTTTCCCGGTGGATCTGTAGGTTTGGTCACCGGAACAGATTCTGGATTTACTTCGGTCATTTTCTTTATTGTATGAAAATACTTTTTTTTAATAATTTTACCTGAAAGAAGCTGTAGGACAGACTTGAAATTTATTAGAATTTTACTCGCGAGATTCTTAAAATCAGTCTTTAATCTTGTTGGGATTGTGACCAAGATTGATCTGTATAAAATTAAAAGTTGGTCTTTGAGAACCTTTTTCCTCTTCCTCTTTCTCTTCCTCTTCCTCTTGCCACCAAGAATACAATGATACTAACCCAACTGCCAGTAAAGAATAAAAAATAGTTCCCCTCGTACGTTCCATCATACATTTCATAATATATTCTTCACAGTCTCTTGCTCCCTGATCTCTTGCTTCCTTAAGTTGCTGGTCTAATAATGTAGATACTTTTGCAGTAAATCCACTTGGTAGTTCTACCAGACGCAGGTTATTTGCCGGTCCTGTCATTTTCTTTATTGTATGAAAAAAAAATTTTTTTAAATATTTGAAATTTACCAGAATTCTACTTGTAAGATTTTTCAAGTCAATCTTTTATTTTGTTTAAAGTTCTTACCAAGACTTACTCGTAAAAAATTTGAGAACGGTCTTGAATTTTGTTGAAAGTTGTTACCAAGATTGACTTGCAAGAAATCTAAGAACGGTCTTGGATCTTGTTTAAAGTTCTTACCAAGACTTACTTGTAAGAAATTTAAAAACAGTCTTGAATTTTGTTGAAAGTTGTTACCAAGACTTACTTGTAAGGTTTTACAGAAAACACTAGGATATACTACAGTTTCCTTTCGATGCTTTTTGTACGATCCTGTCGCGGGCAAAACCTACCACTCCATCTGCTGCTGCAATGGCAGGAGGGATATGAAGTTCCACTTTCTTTTCGTCCAACCTTCCCAGTTCTTCCGCGGGTTCCTCCGACTTTCTCAGTTCTTCCAGTTCCTGGACAGAAGGAAATTCACAGGACCCGTTATATTCCAAGTCGATCTTTGATAATGTACGTTTTTCTTCGGGAATGTCTTTATGACCCAATGCTAACGTACGAACCTTATCGTCTAAAATATACCGTTTGTCGTCCTTGGCCGAAAGTGCCGTTTTTACCAAACGTTCGGTATAAATGTTATGATAATGACTACGAAGTGTCGTCATGCCTACACGTCTTTCTATTTCACCGAATAGAACATCTTTATAATGCTGATGTGACAGATCTTTTTTCACGACGCATTTTTTAACTCCCTTGCATTTTTTTATCACTTTTCCATCGTCGCCTAGCGTCGAATATGATTTTGGACGTAATCCTATAAATTCCTTAATCTGATCCGCACCCGTTTCGGATTTCATCATACCGATGACCTTCTTGTTTATTCCACATGGAATTCCGGACGGATGAGATTTTGTGAGATTACTCGTGTCAAATTTCTGACGAACGTCGGGTGTAATGTCTTTGAAAAAGTCGTCGGTCGCTATCTCGTAATGAAGCGAATCCGTATCTGTGAAAAGAAGTTCTGCTTTTTCTCCATATTTTTTCTTCACGTAATTGTAGTGAAAGTCGTACATCAACGTCTTGCTGATATCCAGGATGGCGACACCTACGTAAATAGGCTTATCCAAACGAACGGTCGTTCTTCGCATGTGAACCAACGCCAAGTGCTCGGTATATATGTCTGTTGAGACGTAATAACTTTTTTTTACTAATTTATTCCACTTCTTTTCACTGTTAACGAGCTTCACGTTGATACGATCGCGAACATTTTCCATCGTCTTTCCAAACACCGAATTGTTCATCAGTTTGAAAAAATTACTTTCGAAATCAGACTTGGCTTTTTTACGCAAGTCGGTATTCAACTGAATATAATCTGCCATCCATGCTCTTTCCGAAAACATCAGACCGCGATGAACTTTTGTCACGATCAATCCTAATTCCACGTATTTTTTTAACGTCGTATGATGAACGATATACTTTTTCTTATCGTTTAAATTCGGAACGAGTTTATCAACTTTTTCTATTCGAAGACGTTCTGGGGCCAGCGGATAGTCGCTGTGCAAATCATGTAATTCTTTCGGATATTTTAAATCTACTTCGACGTAACAGCCTTTTCCGTTCGGAAGATTGTTCCAGTTTTTCAACCTATCTAAATTCATCCATTCAAAATTCCCGTACGGACGTTTTTCGCACATGGCCCAACCGTATAGATTATTTGCATCCAGATAAGGTAAAAATGTACTTTTCTTTTTCGGATCAAAATCTTTCGTATACTTATTATTAGCAACGGCATATCTTTTACTGATCATACATATTCCACCACGTTTTGCCTTTTCGATAAAATTAAACATGATCGGATCGGAAATTAAATCCAAACGGATACGCGTCATTTTCAGACACGCATCCCATGCCAATCCCGGCGACGTATAATACCATGCAGGATCCAATTTGTAATGTTCCATACAAATCTCACGAAATCTTTCCATGATGTCTGCCAATAATAACACGTCCACTTTTAGATAAAGATCGTGATAATCGCGCATGGTTTTCATATCGAACGACTTCCATACTTTTTGTGCGTGCAGATAATCTTCGTTCGTAATATCTTCGTCGGTTAAACTACTGTAAAATTCTTTTTGTGGTGGAAGAGACGGTTCGGAAAATTTCGCAAAATCATTCATCCACTCGTACGGATAAACACCTTTCCGTTTTAACATTCGACGTTGATCTGACGTATAACTTCTCATCATTTCATCCGTTAATTTAAAGTCGTTCCCTTCCAAATCTTCCGCAAGAGTTCCTAACGAGGACGATAAGAATTTGTACGAATCTAAAAACCGCAAGTCGTGAAATTTAGTTTTCGTCTCACCTTTTTTATTCACAAATGTATCGACCGCTACTTTTTTCGTAAATGAAATATACTTTTCCGATGTCTGTGCGATACAGTTGACATCGCCTTCGCTTCCCCCAAAACATTTGACGACGTGATGTGCATCGTAACCAGCCAGATTATGAAAAAAGACCGGTGTGAATCTTGGATTTTTCATCGTTAAATTACATCGGTTACATGCCGCGCCGCGATACGTACCCGTGTAATGACAATGATCTTTTGTCTTGTGATTGTCTTTCGTAAACCTTCCGTTGCATGCGTAACACAACTCGGATGTTCCGAAATCCTCGTCATCATCCGGTTTCATCCTAATCGTAACGGGAAATTTAAATCTCTCGTAAATTTCTTTCGTATCCTTTTCCAACAACTCGTAGAATTTTACCATCACGTCTTCGTCTTCGTGTTGCTGTGTATAACTTACGTATTTCGGTGGATAAATCTCGTCGTCGAAACATTTGATCAGATATGCAAAACTACACGCTTTATGTTTTTGTGTTCTTTTCGTACTGGAATAATCCAGACTTTCTTTCGTGTCGTAAGAAAGTGGTTCCAGGAAGGATTCCGTATCCGCATATACTACAAACGGAACGTTGTGAATCCGATTATAATTTTTAAATTTTAAAATACTATCTTTTCCTTCCTTATTCGGATATATACATGTCTGCGCTTCGTGATCCAGACACAACTCCCGGTGTTTTTCCAATAATTTCACAGATCCAAAAAAATTCAAACAACTGTTACAGATGTGTTTCTTTTCCTTGTGTTTACTCAACTGCTTTCCCATAAATTTTGACAGATCCGTAACGACACCAAAATGTTCGTTCCATAATACCAAATTGATCGAATCCGGACTTCCCGAAATATACCACGGATAAATTTTTAAATCCTCGTCGAATGCAAAAACATTAATGTAAACACCAGGATTCTGTCTTTCAAACTTTATAACATCCTTTTTCCCAGTCGGGAAATTTATACCGTTCCAGTTTAATTTCTCCGTTTGAATACGAAGAATTTTTGTAATTCGTTCGGGATGACCCCTTACAGGATTCAATGCACGCGTCACCGCCCATCTGAAACATTCGTCGTCGGTATTTTGCATGTTGATGATTCCCTTACCCTTCGTATATCCTTTCGGCATTTCAACAAATCCAGAACCGCGAGCCGGATCGTATTCATCAATCTCAATCTCCAACCGAACTATTTTATCCAACACCCATTTACTACCGTTTTTCTGGTATTTTGCAAAATATTCTAATATCTTTTCGCGCATCTCATCCCAAATTTCGTCCTTTAAACTTTGTCGTGTAATTGCGTAAGTCTTCGAATGAAAATGACTCAGATCCCTCGTTACTTCCCCCGTGATCTCATTCTTTTGCTTCATGATACAAACTAAAGTCACCCGTACTTTTTTCGATCTGTCGATCGAATCTACGAGATCACAAACGTGACGGCCGGTCATATCTAAAAAATAAGGTGGATCGTATATCTTATTCGGTGTGATCGTATACACCTGGGCACGTCTTCGATACGCATGTTGTTGTAAAACAGGTTCGAAATCTTCACCGCGAATTCTCATCTCGCCCGACATTAATTTACGATAACGAACTTCCGCATATTTTTGACGTGCCCTTTCATTTTTACGAAGTCTTTGTGTTTCCTTCTTCCATTTCTGAGCTTCGGATTTCCAATGAAATACTTCCTTACGAAATCTTTTTTCCTCTTTCTCGATGTGTCTTTCCCATTTTTTCTCGTCGTTAAGTTTCTGTGCCGTTGCTCTTTTAGTTGGTTTCCAGCGCTTTTCTTCCTTTCTACGTTGTTTTCGACGATCCTCAAATTCTTTCGCTGCAGACTTTATACTTTTTTTAAAACTCTGCGGTCTTTGTGTAACAGGAGGAGCGCTAATTTCCTCACGAACCGACCGAAAACCTTCGGGTCGCGGCCGATCGTAAAAATCCGGATCGTTACTTGCCATCTTTTTTTATTATACTCGTATTTCATATAAGGTAAAAAAAGATTTTCCATACTCCGAACGAGTATGGAAAAATGGCAAGTAATGACTTTCGGTTCCGGATTTTTACGATCGTTGTTTTCTTATACTCTTTTTATTTATATAAGATGTTACAAAAAAAAATCAAGCGTCTATGTAACCGAAAAAACGTGCTAATTTTCTAAACATGATCGCTTCCACTCCTGGAAGAATGGGACGATCCGATTCTTTCATTTTCGCTAGTTTCTTCAAAAACGTTTCCTCGTACGAAATAAGGTGAGAAAAATCACCCTTCACTCCGATAAAATCCACGTAGTGAAAGTTTACGTCGTGTGATATCGGTCTCGTACCTCCTAGAGTGTGCATGGCTATATGACGGAGAGTCGGAGTCGTTTCGTTTCTTATTAATGTAAATCCTTCTTTTTTCATTCCTTTTATAACCTGACGTACCATCTTTATCCTACCGCGGATGAAAAGACTCGTCATGATTCCTTTATCCGTCGGTGTTGTGTAATATCCGATATTTGGTCCCATCAGTTTCTGAACCAATTCGTTCCTTGCCATTTTATTGTATATTTTTTCTACATAAATACTTGTGGATTCTTTCAATTTTTTTTTCCATACTCCGAACGACTATGGAAAAAAATGGCAAGTAGCAACCTCGGATTTTTACGATCTTTTTCTTATACTCTTTTTATTTCTATAAGGTGTTGAAAAAAAATTTCACAAACTTATGATTTTTTTCATCAATCTTGGAAAAAAGTCTTGGGGACGAGGTCTTGAAAAAAAAAAAAATCTTGAGAAAATCCTGGGGAAGTCTTTGGAAGACTTGGGAAAAATCTTGGAAAAGACTTGGGGATAAGTTCTGGGAAAAGTATTGGAAATAAGTTCACGGAAAAGTCCAGGGAAAATCCCGGAAAGTCATGGAAGGATCTTGGGGACAGGGGGGTCCTGGGGATTGGGTCCAGGGTGGGATAGGGGGCTAAAGGGCCAAGAGGATGAAGGGCTGAAGACACTATATTTTGTATAACATGAAGTTTGGCCCTGAAACCCCCGTTTAATTACTTGTTTAGCACTGGAATAGTTATTTATATTGTTTTATTATAATGAAGTATTATACTAGCTTTCTACGAACTCAAATTTTGTGAATCCACTAGGGGAGGGCATCTATTACTCGGGTTTAGTTAACAGATCGAAAATTTGTTGGGATTTTAATTACTGTACAAAATTTCAGACAATTAGCTTTAGTTTAAGTCCTTTAACTATTCACGCAAATTTACATTTTTTCTTAAAAAATCAGCTATTTGCATGCTAATTAATTCATTTGCATATGTCAGCAATATGCAAATTAGGTAAAGGCATTAATTAAGCATGCGAAAGCCTAATTTTTTAGAGAAAAATGAATATTTAATAAACTAAAGCAAATTGTCTGAAATTTTGTACAGTAATTAAACACCCAACAGATTTTCCATCTATCAACTCAAAATATGATTAAAGCTTTTAAATTTCGTGCGCAAGCCATTTTTAGTTTGTTGGAAAAGACACCCCCTCCTGGTTTACAAAATTTAAGTTCGAAATTTTTTTTATTATTCTACATTATAAGTACCCAAAGAAACTATATATATCAAAAACTGGATACTAATAGCTGTTTTGCCCAATTGAGAGCAATTTCAAATCTGTTCAGTTTTTTTTATACACCCTGTATATTAAAATAAAGAATTCCTAAAGAATAGGTAACGAATTATTAGTCAATAAGAGCGACTAAAGGCCTACACAAAGTTTCAATATTAGTTTGTAAATCTCTGAATGATAAAATACTCCAATAATACGTTTCAAAAAAGACAAAAAAGCTTTAGTTTTGCAGAGTGAAATTCTCAAACGTGTAAGGCACTAATAAGATGAAAGTATAACGAAATTATTTGAATAAACCACATCGCATATATGGGGGCGAATATCCTAAAGAGGGGCGATATTTCTAGGGTATTCGCCCCCCCCCCCCTGGGATGCAATATTCCTAGGATATTCGCCCCCGGGGGCGACATTCCTAGGATATTCGCCCCCGGGGGCGACATTCCTAGGAATATCGCCCCCCACCTTTTGAGGGGTGGGGGGCGAATCTCCTGGGGGGGGGGGCGACCTGTTTAAAAATTCTATCTTGCCCACCAAAATATGAGTTTGCCCCTCAAATGCCCCCCCCAAAAAAAATTCGGAGGCCTGGCGCCGCCACTGGTGCGCAATCTCGTATTACACTGTCAGAGAAATAGCACAAAAACGCACATAAATTATTTGGTCCCCAGGACAATTTTAGTATGGTTATGGTTATAAACTACACCATACCAGTGAACTATATAGTTCAGTGCGCCATACATTTTAAAATAAAAATCCTATAGAATACAGTAGGCTCAACATAGACAACCATTTTGCATGAAAGTGCAGTGCGGAATCTCGTATTACAATTTCGAAGAAATAGCACAAAAACGCGTCAGTATAAATCATTTAGCCCAGGACATGTTTACTATCGTTATATACAGCATAAAATTCTACGCCATATATGTCAAAATGGAAAATCGTATTGATTTTGTTCAGTGAAACATGGACTTTGTATGTGTTGCCCATACAAATATTAAAAAGGCAAAACGTGCAAAAATCATTTGGTCTCTATGACAAATTTCATATTGCTGGAAGATGTATAATGATCTATGCGAGGGGTGATGAATGTGTGGTGATGGCAATATGCCAAGTCATTCTTAGAAGGTATGGCTAGCTGTTGTTAATTAATAAGATTTTTAGTTAAAATTGAAAAAAATTAAACATTTATGTTGTTACCATTGTCATAGTAGAAACTGCATGGGGTTGGGATAAAACGCGGATACGGACGGACGGACAAAAAGGATAAAATGCGGATGCGGAGAAAAAGGATGATGATGATAAACTTTATTTAAAATACTCATTAAAAATTCATAAACCTTGTGGCAAATCATGTCAGCCATAATATGTCACGTGGAGTGACTTTATATCTGATAAAACTCATCTTCATTAGTGTTCTTTATATAATTCTTCATCCTAATTAGTATGATTATATAATTGTTCATCCTAATTAGTATTCTTTTGTAGTCGTATTTTAAGCTATTCAAAACACTCGAACTCGCGTTTTATCACATCTAAAACGCTCGGCTGCGCCTCGCGTTTTAAACAGTATGATAAAACACTCCTTCTCGTGTTTTAAATAGTACTTAACCACGCTAACATTGTCAGCTAAAGCCGGTTTCCACAAAATGCGGATGCGGACAAAAAGGACAAAATGCGGATGCGGACAAAATTATTATTATTATTATTATTATTATTCAATGAAGTATTCCCGGAGAGGGTTTTTCAATACCTATTTAAAAAATGAATTAGCGTTTATTTAAAATCTACTTGTCTATCTATTTGTCTATTTAAATCCATTAAATCTATTACATCTATTTGTCTATTTGTTAAATCTATTTGTCTATTTAAAATCCATTAAATCTATTAAATCCATTAAATCCATTAAATCTATTTGTCTATTTAAAAGCCATTAAATCTATAATATGAGAAAATGTAATTAATTGTTGTTTAGCATCTTGTTCTTTAACTTAGTTTTAAAACTTTTCCAAGGTAACTTTTTAAGGTCTTCATCCAAGTCGTTCCATAACTTCACCGCTCTGTAATAAAAGGTTCTTTGTCCTGAAACTGTTTTGTGTTGAGGGATGTATAGCGCTTTATTATTCCTTGTATTTAGATCGTGAATTTCATTTCTTTTTATAAATAATTTGGATAAGTAAGGTGGTGCTAATACGTTCATACATTTGTATGTTATTAGCGTCTCTCTATATTTTAAGTGTTCCTCTACAGGAAGCCAGCGAATTGCCCGTAGTGCTGGTGTTACATGATCATATCTTCCCGTACTTGTCAATATCCTACAAGCAAAATTCTGTACTGCTCTCAATTTCTTTATATTTGTTGCAGAAGTGTTTGACCATAATGTAGAGCAATTATAATAAAGTTTGCTCATTACTAAAGCATTAATAATTAAGCGAAGATTATCCCTATCAAAGCTATCCTTTACTCTATTTATCTGACATAGCTTGGCCATACAAGATGATACAACATTTTTGATATGGCAATCGTATGTCAGATAACTGTCTAGGGTTAATCCCAGGTCTTTGGCATTTGTGGTTGGTGTCTCTTCTCCAGGGATGCCGGAAGTTGCTGGGGGCAAGGGGTGCAATTGGTTAACAAGAGGGCATATTCCTTAACAAAAGGGCACTAAATCACTAATGAAAATGAAAGGGCATCTAAAAATTATTTTTGGCGACCTCCCCCCCCCGTCGCCAAAATTTTTTTGGTCAGTGTACCATTTTAGGGGTAAAAAAATTTTTCCGGACATACCACAATTTTTCCTAAATACGAAAAAAATTTTCCGGACATACCGAAAATTTTTCCGGAAAATGTTATTTTTTCCGGAAATTAAAACATTTTTCCGAAAATAACATAGATTGAATTTTTCAAAAATGCCCTTTGCGCAAAAAATGCAATTTTTAATGAAAATTTTTCACGCAAAAAGGACACTTTGTGCACCCGTTGCACCCGTATTCTGCACCCGTAGTGCGCCCGTAAAGTTGTGAAGACAAAAGGCAACGGGTGCAACTGCACCCGCTGCACCCGTGGTTCCGGCATCCCTGCTCTTCTCCAAGAAATGTAATTGTCGTCTCCTCAAGGAGCTTACCGAGCAGTTGACGAGTCCCTATCAAGAGTAACTTTGTCTTCTCGGGGTTTATCAACAATTTATTTTCGAAAACCAAGCTGCGACCAATTTGAGGTCCTCTTCTATCTTTGTTTTGACAAAAATTGTGAAAACAACAAAAACACAGATTTCGCTACCCTGTTTCTCGTACTGCAACAGAGGAAAAGTATAAATGAAAGCTAGCAGACGTAAACTTTAATGAACGTTAATCAAGACCACAATTACTTGTCGCAATCGGGAAATTAGCAGTCAAGAATTCTTCGCTGAAACATGGCTGAAAATTACGTTTCTTGCAAAATGTGTGTTTTTGATGGCAAATATTAAACCTCGAGTAGGAACTTAATATTGATGGAATATTACTTGAAATTTGCAGTACATGCGTTTGTTGTCCAGGACAAAGTATAAATATTTGGTTTTTGAGTGATACTGTGCGCCAACGATCATCGTTAGATTTCAGTAGTGAGGTATTTTGCTAAAATTGCTTGTTTTTCACCTTAATTTTCTCATATATACAGGTCGTGCCAACGAAATGTGATTACGTCAGAACATAGTTTTTGCTAATAGAATATAAACTCACCTAACAAATGAAGAAAGTACTGAATTTTGGCAAATTTAACGTGCAAGTGTGATTTATTCGAAAAAGGCGACTCAGAAAATGAGCATTGGAATAATCATTTTTCCATGTATAGGTTTTCAAAGTATTTAAAAAACAGATACACATAACAATCAGATTTTTGTATGATTCTCATTTAGAAGCGTAAACTTTGTATTATTTTTAAACACAATTTTCGCTCGTTCAAAATTCTATAAACACAAATTTTGTCATGTTACAGGTTGTGCCAACGAAATATCGCTGTTTTACATTAAATTTCAAAGCATTTTTAAGTCGGTATTAAATTTCTTGGCTTTGTAAAAAATGAAGAACTATTAGTATCTTTGGTTTGAATATCACATTTTATTGAAGCTATCAGACGACATTTTAAAAGGAAAATTTTTGCTCTGTTTCGTTTTGCACTGAAATAATCGATATTAATAGTTTACATTGTAAAATATGTGGCAATAGAGGAAATTAAAGTATTACTGCAACATTTTTTGTCAGGAATCCAATTTTTGTGGTGATTTGTGGGCGTAAACAGCCGCTGAAAAACTGTCTTTCGAAGGCTTCGTTCATGTTGTTTATGTTTTTTAAATCAACCAAGTGGAAGCACGCATATCTTCTTCTCCCGCTAAAACCCGAGCAGTTTAAGAACGTCCATAAAACATGGTTCAATTAACCCCTGCATGAACAGAGAACACTCGTAATAAAAAGTTTTACGAAACAAATAGCTTGCAGCAGGCTCGCGTTGCTTTTGGATTGACTAACTTTGCATAACTAATGTATTTTCAATTCCCAACGGTGGAAGAATGTGATTTCGACCGGCAATTTTTATTTGACGAGTATGTGGCCATTTCTCAACGTAACGATTTAAAAAAAGGTATCATAGTAAAGCTAAATAACAGCTCTTTCGTCCTATGTAAAAATTGAATTGTTTAGTTAAGTTTACGATGCACGACAGCCTGTTGAATTTCCATAGCGTTTTTTTTAGACACCCTGTATAGAGCTCAGCGAAAACATATAAATTATAGCATCTGACCAATGAGAATTTCGCATCCCGATTCGAGACGCAGATATTCAAAATTGTATGCCATCAGTGCAGGCTCTCAGTTTACCTTGAGAGCCTGCTCGCAGGCTACAACCAAATGGTACCAGGCCTGAATTAAGCTAGCCTACGGTGTAGACCCACTACACCGTAGGCTAGAATTAAGCAAATTCCTTCAAATTTAATTGCACCGGCCCCCACTCACTTTTTTGAAAAAATTTAATAGCCCCCTTCTAATCATTTTATATTTATAGATATGGTCCCCCTTATTTCCCCTCCCCCCCCCACCCCCCCTCCAATGCTTCCATAAATAAATTGACCGATCCCTAATGTCGTGAAAAATGTCGGTGCGAATGTTGTGATGAATGTCGTGACAGCTTCACTCTGTTCACTTTGGCAGTAAATCCAATGAAGGAAATTTCTAGGATATTTCGATGTTTTTAAAAAGTATGGCAAAGCTAAATAAATAAATAAATAAAACAATTTAATTTCGTCAAAAACGTTCAGTGTACGTTGCAATCCGCAATCCGGTGCCTATCATTCCATCCTGTATTAATAAATGTGTCACCAATTGCCGGAGGACAACAAATCAGGCAATGTCAATTTGTATGGAGGCTGGTATTATCAGACCTTCCAACTTTGTGGCATGAAAATGAAGTGAGATTTAATTATTTCCTGTAATATGAGTCATATAGCCCGCTGTCGCCTGCCGTTAGCAGGCGTTGACCTAGGGGGGTTCTGGGGCATGCCCCCCCCCGGAAAATTTTCAAATCTGGAGTCTCTGAATATGCCATTTCCTGCATTTTGGGAGAAGATTAACAGAATTCTAAAGGTACAAAAATGACATTAAAAAATCTCAAAAGTAACACTTTTTGGACAACTGCATGCAATTATAAGTTTCATTTATTTTTTATTTCGTTAATATTGTTTAAAAAGTAAAAGTCATTCTAAATTTAAATGTTAATGAGTTATAGCTTGCGCTTATGTGCTTTGTTGTATTCATAAGTAGCAGATTTAGCTGCTTATTATGCATTATCATGCCCACGCGCGAATAATGCTAATTCATCACACGAAGTTAATAAGATTATAGTTTATATTTTACATACAGCGTTGTCTGGGGAAATCCCTCATTAACTAAGTGTCAATTTACTAATTTGCGCAATAGTGCAACTTAGGGACCGGTCATTATTTATGGAAGGGGGGGGGGTGGAATTTTTCTTTTCTAAATTTTTAAAATTGAAAGCCCCCCCTAAAAGAGCAGACATTTAATGATGACCCCCCCTGCATATTGGAATATTTTTCTTTGACCCCCCCCCCTCATTTTCACTTTTACTCGTCAAATGGGGATACCCAGGCGTTTATATAGTGCTAATTAATTATTAAATAAGAATATGGAACTGGCAAGATATTAACGTCGACCAAAAATATATTAGCAGAAAATTATAATTAAAAGAGGAGTATTTTTATATATAACACTAAAATCAGGTTTCCATTTGGTCTGGGCGATTGTAACCATGTTTAAGGTTTAAGGCTGCAACTAGACTTGATGGTACGAAGTATTGCCATAGCAGCTGCGCAGCAACAATGAGAACAACAATCAGTAATATTAGCAGCAAAAGGAGATAGCAATGACAATTCTGCCTAGGCATACCTGCGAAAATCAATGTATAGTAGTGGTCTATACATCCTATTTTATGTGAGATTAAAAATTATATAAAATAAAATGACATATACTAGCTACCAGATAAAATCCTTTAGAATGAACATGGGTGGGTGGGTGGGGAAAAGGTATCGAAGCGCAAAACTTGCTGCAGCTAGGCAAAGCATACAATGGCAGAATGAATACCCAGACCGAAGCACTGATCACAAGGCATGAAACAACCTTTGATCGATATGACGTCACAGACTCCCCTCAGCAGATGTGGCCTGCATAATACATCCGCCGTTAACCTTGCTTAATTTAAATGTATTTAACCACATCAAGGGCTGATGTAATAATACATTGTCAATTTAACTAGTCTGCAAACCGTAAATCTGATTTGCATACAGCACACAGAAGACAAGATGAATCCAGACTATTTCACATCAGTGACCATGATTTAGTTGCAACATTTACAACCAAATGGATACCAGGTTATTAAGCAAATTCCTTCAAATTTAATTGCAACCCCCCCCCGTCATTTTCTCGAAAAAATTTAATAGCCCCCCCTTCTTGTCATTTATTTCTACATATGGCCCCCCCTTATTTTTTCCCTCCCCCCCCCCTTCCATAAATAATGACCGGTCCCTTACGCAGTACTATACATTACACAGCAACTGCTCGAAAAATACTTTATTTTATAGCTATTGATTCAGCTAAATAAGAATATTTGCTTGCGAAGAGAAGCGTTAAAACAAAAGTTGGATCGCTTCCTATTTTTTCGCTTTTGCGTGAGAAAATAGTGTTTATGCGTGTGAGCGTGAGAAATATGTCAAATGCGTGTGTCTCACGCAAAATGCGTGAGAGTTGAAAGGTCTGATATTATCCCTTCATGAAAGGTAATAATTATATAAGTGACTTGATGCTTCCTACGTTTGATGCTTCCTACGCCGCTACGGGCCACAAACATGTATTAGTGTATACATAAAATGCATTTGTGTTAGCACATCACTAGATCAGCCTATGCACTATCCAGTTCGCTACTTTTCACTGAATCAGTGAAGCTTACCGTGGTTGATAGCGCTGTTCAGCGTCGAGGTTTATTTCGATATCATAAGCCATCTCGATATAAGGGACCACATCAGAAATCTCATCAAATGACATATCGCCACCACTACGTAACTGATGTAGAATCTGTTGCATCCATGTAGTGCCGCATTTAGGTGTTGTCACGACGAACACGTCATCTGGTCGAGGTTTAAAACTTAAACCATGCCTTCTTCCTTGCTCTGTTTGTAAGCTAGATAACCTTTGTTTCAGGAACTGCACACCTGGACTTCCGTCTCCAGATATCTCAGAAGACATTCTCAGAAAAGCTACCACAAAACTTAAACGACACCAATGCCAATCCTACTCTGCGTCTCTGCGTTTATCAGTTTGAGTATGCATATAACTACATGCAGATAAGGATATA